TTTCCATAAGTTATCCACTCTGAATCATTCTCCCCTATTCTGTAAGTTTGATTCCATTTATTCACCTTTGGAAGAAGTTTCTGACTCTGGCCTTCCCTTCACCTTTGCACTCTGACGTATGTAGGCTCCCTACTGCCACCTCATTCCCACTTGGTAGTCATAGAACACCTGCACACACATACCTACTAACTGTAAAGTGTAACTGTAAGTTATCACCTTTTAACCAACTAAAGGTTTTGGATTCCTATAGGTTCCATGTTCCCACTTTGTACCTATATGCCACAGAATAAAAGTATAACATAAGTCGTAACATTGTCTTAAGTGGCTGAACAGATAAATACTTGCTTGTGTGATACAGAACCTCTATAGCATGCAAGAGCATATAAGTACATAAGTAGAAAGCATTGTAATTTTCTTACAAAAGAGTCTTTGTTGATGCTTAACTCATTCCTGACTCAAATTCTCAAATTACACACCATAATATTACTGGTCGTCATTTTCCTCAAAATAATGTGAAATATATATATATATATACTAAATACTCATTTTTCTAACCTACAGTAGATTCATTCTCTCCCCCCCATTAGTATTACTATCATATTCTCATTTTGCAGAATTTGAAATTCTCAAAATGTCTTAACTAAAACCAACACTTTTCATATTCAGAAGAAATATTAAATACCAGTTTGCAAAGCTCTTTTCCTAGATATAGAAATTACCTAACAAGTTTACTAAATGCCATCTGTCTTTGTTTCGGAATGTCTTCAATGACAAGGAATAAAATGAAATAATATAATCTCTAAGGAGCTATAATTATTAGAATTTCATTCCACTGTCTTTCACCCTCACACTAGAATCACACAGATCATACCAGTGCTCAGATATGACTTGCAAATGTACCAGATGTAAAAGGCCATGCTCTTTATAGAAAGTCTGAGTCACTCGGTCTGTCCTTGGCCTAGTCTCAAAACTGACTCTCATAGTCTTTTTATGAAATCTCCAAATTCCAGAGACCTCAGAGGGTCTGACTTTGTGTGATAACCAATTTATGGGCTGAGGTAATGACACTTTTATTAATGCTGGTGGAATCTAAATAAGAATTCTACATGAATTTAGATGAATTCTACATGAAACACAGAAAATGGTATGCCTTCTATTTCAGAATGTCAACCAGAAACCTAAACCAAGCTTGGATTGCTCTATAAACTGATGCCAAGACCCTGTTGCTAAAGGCAACATCTACACAACTCATCAAACATGGTAGAGCTGATACTTAACTTAAGACTTTACTCCTACAAGGCTTACTCCTATTGCCTCCTTCTGGTCCGTAGTACCAGAAGCCACTCTGCTCATTACCAAAGGAGAAACATAGACACTAATCTATCTGCAAGGTTTTCTATCTGCAATGGTATCCTGGTAGCATAATGTTTCTCAGAGCAATCAACTAATATCTGATATAACTAAAGCCCCACTCCGTGAGATGGAACCCAAGCCTGAGACTGCTTGGATGACCAAAGCCTGAGAGTAGATAGTCCAGGGACCTAAGGTAAACAGAGTACTAAATTAAAGGAAAATAACAACAAAATGACTCCTAATGACATTCTGCCATACTCAGAAATCAGTGGCTTGTTCAGCCATCATCAAAGATGTTCCTGCCTATAGCAAACAAATACAGAGACCCATAGCCACACAATATACAAAGAATTAAAGACCTTGGAAGACTCAGCTATAAAAAGAGCTTTCTCAATCAAATCCCTACGCCCAAGGCTCAAGGAACCCTACAGAACGGGGGCGGGGGGAGGAGTAAAAACAGAAGAGCCAGAGGGATACAGGCCAAGGAAACACATCAAGACTGCTGCACACATGAACTCACAGAAACTAAGGCAGCATGCACAGGGCCTTCATAGCTCTGCACCAGATAGGAACCTAGCGCTGAAAGGAGAAGTAGACACAAGCCTCCCATCCTTTATCTAGACACTATCTCCAATTGATAACCCCTTCCAAATTCAAATATAGTTTTCTCCAAAGGAGTCTCACAGAGAAAACAGACTACTCTTAAATATCAGTTCCGCAGCAGCAGTAGATAGCCAAGAGAAAATGAATTCAACCAGACCTTTGGAGTGCCTTTATCTCGTAATCTCAGGGCTTTTTTTTTTCTTCTTTTTTAATTTTAATTTTTTATTTTTATTCTATTATATTTATTCTTCTTTCTGTCTCTCTGTCTCTCTAACTCTACCTGTCTCTCTCTTTCCTCTCTGTCTCTTTCTGTGTCTCTCTGTGTCTCTCTGCCTCTGTCTGTCTCTGTCTGTTTCTGACTCTTTGTCTCTTTCTCTGTGTATGTGTCTCTGCCTATATCTATCTATCTATCTATCTATCTATCTATCTATCTATCCATCCATCCATCTATCCATCTGTCTGTCTGTCTGTCTGTCTGTCTGTCTCTCACTGTTTCTTACCCTATAGGTATTTTACATATATATTATGGTTCCAGTTTTATGTTTGTATGGGATCCTAAGTATGTGAACAAGTGAATTTCTGTGTTTATATCTGTTTCTTATACATTTCCTTGAGCTCTTTCATATGTTTGTTTTGTCCAATTTTAAATATTTTTGTATTATATTATTATCCCTTAAGCCTGTTTTATTCTAATGAGAGACAGGGTATGGATCCAGATGTGAGGGGCAATGGTGGGAAGAAATTGGAAGGAGTAGAATGAGAAGAAACTAATCAGGATATATTATGTGAGAAAAAAATCTATTTTCAATAAAAGAAAAATTACAATAAAAGGAATGAATGAATGAATGAATGAATGAATGAATGAATGAATTCCATTGTCATATCTAATCCCATCCCAGAGAAACCCCTTGATTTGGTGTTTGACAGCTGGCATTTTATTTTGCTCTTCATTTCATACTTACCACACTTCAAATGTTCTGTAGCGATAAATAATTAGGTAGCAAAACCTATTCAGATACATTATCATAAGTTAGCTATGGAGGACCACGAGACTCAAAATGAGGTTGTTACTTTATACAGGGTGTTTCCAAAACCCATCTCCACCCAACCTAAAAGGGGGGGACTTCTGCCCCTAGACCAAGCAGAGAGGGGCCACCCAGAACCCCCTCTGACAGGCGATCTGAATTCTTGCTTAGGCTGCGAGGCAAAGCACTGCAAGGGAATATAAATAAAAGATAAAAATATCTATCTGGGTTCCCTGAGGGACAAGCCTGACTGCATAGGGGTTGATGTCAAAAGTATCCCCTCTCCAGGAAAAAGACATCAGAATAGGTATGGCCCTCATGCCTCACTGGACAACGACAGGGGGACTGGAGCCATTACAAGGTCCCCTTCAAGTACTAGAGGTCAGGTCTCTATCCCCGCCTTCGCAGGAATAGAATTGCCACAGCCCTTCTATACTTAGAGAAGGGAGGAGATGTCAGGAGCAGCCCTGCTTACACACTGAAGGCCTAAAATCAGCCATAGGTCTAAAATCAGCAATAGGCTGTCATCCATGTATATTAACACCAAGTCTTGGGTCTCAGTGGAAAAACACTGAAACAGATGGCTATAAGCTAATGTCAACAGGCAGCTTTTGTGGAAATTTACAAGCCTGAGTAGTCATAGACCTTGTAAATAGGTAGCCTTGGCAGACAATACCAACTTAGATAAGGACAAGTGAGTCGTAGGCAGAGTCATAGTGACTTGTCCCCTGAACCTTCACCCAGCCGATACCCGGTTCTGAAAGATATCTGTATTCCCCTGAACACCCACACTCCAATGTCATTCCCTTCTCCACATCCTGCCTTTCTGTGTTTATAACCCCTGTGTGAATGAATTACGATTTGAGAAAAAAAATTATTAATAAAAAAAATGTTCTGTAGCCAGTTCTGTTCATTGATTTTGTTGTCTTCACCTGGTCCTAAAATGTAAGAAACTTCTTTTTCTCCTTAGCGCTGTTAGCAAATTATTTTGTCTTTCCTTGATACTGTCATCTTTTCAGTATTATCTCAAAGACTACAGTTCAAAGTCCATCACTGAATAGACTTACTGATATATCCTTACTCTCCCACTAAGCTGCATCTGCTGCAGTTATATCATCATGGTTGCCTAGCTTGCTGTCTTCTTGATTGTAATGCAAATACGCAGAGACCATGTAACTCATCTGTAATACATTGATTTTATCCAGGATGTGGCCTATTCAAAAAAAAAATACTTGCTGTTTAAGTGAATCAATTCACTTGGCTGAATTCAGCAAAGATATTTGCATTTCTATCAGATACAGAATATGTAATAATATTCTTTTCTTCTATCTTACCCCTTTCCTAGGATTTAATCCTCCTGCCTAACACCCACATCTAATGCTACTGCCTCAATAAATCTGAAAATAATCTCTCCTATTTAATTCCTCGGTTAAGCTCCCAGGCTGTGTCTGTTACCCCCAGGATGTTTGCCATAACCTCTTATGTAGGTATTGTCCTTCCTCTCTCATCCTCTGCATCCTCATTTCAGACACAGTGCCCTTTCCAACGCTCAATGCAGAAATGTTCCCAGGGCTTATGCTTAGATGAGTGAAGTCTTGAGATGTGTGTAGAAAACACTGGGAGAAGACATTATAGATGTAACATAGTCTCATAAGAATCAAATCAAGGTGCTCTGCAAAACTCAGTCAATGCAAAGTCAACTCAGTTTTCAAGATAAACCAAGGTTTATCTTACAAATGAATACACAAAAGTTTGTTAGAAACCAAGACCCATTTTATTAAAAAGAAGCCATTAACATGTTCAGGGGACAGAACCAGATAGCAAGAAAGCAGAACTAGTGAGATGATACTGCAGATCCCAGGATCACAAAGATGCCTTCTAGAAATGTGCAGCTGGAGGTCAAAGACTTTGTCAAATTTGTAATTTCTTGGATATAGAGATCTTGACAATGGGTCTTTAAAGAAGTGTTGTCTTCAGAAAGGTCACTTCAGAAACAACTGGTCCTCTCTTAGGGGTGTTCTAACAGCAAGAATAGCATCTTCTGTAGCAAGATGGCCCGTAGCCACAGCAGCCAGACCTGTAGTAGGAGCCATATCCACAGCCACAGCCACTTCCATAGCCAGAGCCGTATCCACAGCCATAGCCAGAGCCGTATCCACAGCCATAGCCAGAGCC